CACTGGGACTTTTCCTCCTGGCACCCAGTGGAGCCTCCGGCGGCCAGTCTACGGTCTCCGCCAGGCACCGCGTGAGTGGCACGACACACTAAGAACTACGTTTGTGGCTCTTGGGTTTGCTCCCTCTACTGCCGACCCGTCGCTGATTCTACGCACCGACACTTCTGTGCCGCCGTTCTACATCCTCGTGTACGTCGACAACTTGGTCTTTGCCACTGCTGACACTGCTGGACTCGCCTACGTGAAGTCGGAGCTGCAGAAGAGACACACATGCACAGACTTGGGTGAACTGCGCAGCTACCTTGGCTTGCAGATCACCTGAGCACGCCGCACCATCACCCTAACTAAGTCAGACATGGTGTAGCAGGTCCTTCAGCGCTTCGGCTTCATGTACTCCTCGCCTCAGGCCACTCCTCTGCCTACTCGCCACTCGCTCTCAGCTCTGCCTTCGGATGAGTCCGTAGAGTCGAGTGGCCCGTACCCAGAGCTTGTTGGCTGCCTCATGTACCTGATGACCTGCACACGACCTGACCTTGCATACCCTCTTAGCATTCTTGCACGCTATGTTGCTCCTGGGAGACACCGACCAGAGCACATGGCGGCAGCAAAGAGGGTGTTGCGCTACCTGTGCAGTACGTCGGGCATCCTCGTGTACGTCGACGACTTGGTCTTTGCCACACCGGACACTGGTGGACTCGCCTACGTGAAGTCCGAGCTGCAGAAGAGACACATGTGCACAGACCTGGGTGAACTGCGCAGCTACCTTGGCTTGCAGATCACTCGGGACAGAGCACGCCGCACCATTACCTTGACTCAGTCATACATGGTGCAGCAGGTCCTTCAGCGCTTCGGCTTCACGTACTCCTCGCCTCAGGCCACTCCTCTGTCTACTCGCCACTCGCTCTCAGCTCTGCCTTCGGATGAGTCCGTAGAGTCGAGTGGCCCGTACCCAGAGCTTGTTGGCTGCCTCATGTACCTGATGACCTGCACACGACCTGACCTTGCATACCCTCTTAGTATTCTTGCACGCTATGTTGCTCCTGGGAGACACCGACCAGAGCACATGGCTGCAGCGAAGAGGGTGTTGCGCTACTTGTGCAGTACGTCGGGCATGGGGCTAGTGCTTGGAGGGCGGAGTCCAGTGGTCCTCACTGGTCACGCAGGAGCTTCTTGGGCTGACGACCAGGCTACGCAGCGGTCGTCACAGGGTTACACCTTCAGCCTTGGTTCCGGCTCTGTTTCGTGGCGGGCTACTCGCTCGTCTTCCGTTCTCGGCTCCAGTTGTGAGGCTGAGATCTACGCAGGGGCCATGGCTGCTCAGGAGCTTCGCTGGCTCACCTACCTGCTGATCGACCTTGGAGAGCCGCCTTGTTCTCCTCCAGTCCTGTACGTAGACAACAAGGCCATGCTGGCCTTGTGTCGAGAGCAGAGACTGGAGCACAGAACGAAGCACATTGCTCTCCACTACTTCCTTGCTCGTGAGCTACAGCAGCGTGGTCAGTTGCGGCTTGCGTATGTGGCCTCTGAGGCCAACACTGCTGATGTCTTCACCAGGGCACTTGCGCCTTGTGATCATCAGCGCTTCTGCACCCAGCTGGGTCTTGTACCTGTCTTGCCTCACTTGCTCACCTCTTGACCTTGCTTGTACTGTTACATATATATATACCTGCTCTTGCTTGTCTAGCCTTATATATATATGTACTCCTGCATGTGAACTGGCCTTGTGGCCTTGAACTTGTGCTCGGAATGTGTGGTGACTTTGTGATCCACCCTGAGCTTGCTTTGCTTTGCTTTACTTGACTGGTCTTGTGACCCCTAATTCTCCCCCACTTCGCCTATGGGGGTGTGTCAAACATTATATATGTTGTGCTTGTTTAGGCTACAGTGGGTTAGCCCATATGGGGTACACAATTCTAGGGTTAGGTACTTGTACTGATTTCACTGTTAGTTCAACCATTCCTGTTCGTTCATTTCAACAGTCTCCGCATCCTTGGACTCGACGTCGCTGTTCAGGGTAACCAGCAACTGATTGAGCCCACCACCATCCGCCAGGCTCTCACCGAGCCTGATGCCAAGAAGTGGAGAGCCGCCATGGCCGCAGAAGTCACTGCACTCCAACGACGCGGCACCTGGAAGCTGGTACCACGACGCCACACAAAGGGGAGGAAGATTCTCACTGGAACATGGGTTTTCAGAATTATAAGCCTCGCGGACGGAACTGTCAACAAACAAGGCATGTTGGGTGGTCCGCGGATTCAAGCAAACACAATTCGTGGACTACGACCAAACATTCGCACCTGTCGGCCGCCATACCTCTGTGCGGATTCTTCTCTGCTTCGCCGCCGTGAAACAACGCCCCCTCCGCAAGATCAACGTCTCCAACACATTTCTCTACGCAATCGTCGACGCCATCATCTACGTCGAACAGCTGCACGCCTTCGAGGAAGATGGTGACGCCATCTGCCTTCTCCCAAAATCTGTACACCGGATGATCTCCTCTATACCGGAGACGACGCGGACCTGCTCGATCGCTTTGAACGCGACATCCAGGAGAAGCTGGAAATGACTATCGACCATGAGGTCACCCAATTCCTCGGCCTCAACGTTACCCAGACCACCGACACGATCCATCTCTCCGCAGCAAAATATGCCAAAAAACTCGCTAAGAAATTTGACATCTCTCCCATCGGCATCACTACCCCGTTCTGCACTCCTCCGCCTAACCACGAGCCCGACACTACTCCGCTCTCCCCGGCCGATCACCACCTCTACCAGCAGCAGCTCGGGTGTCTCCTGTTCACCGCCATCACATGCCGCCCGGACTTATCCTACATCGCCAGCCAGCTCGCCCAGTAATTGCACCGACCTGAAGGGGAGAACCTGGCAGACCTGCACCCCGCCTTACAGTACTTCATTTCTACACCCGATGTCGGCCTCACCTACACCGCGAACCTAACAGCTCCTTACCAGCTAACTGGCTACGTGGATGCGGATCACGCTGGTGATGCAGAAAACAGGAGGTCCCGCACAGGCTTCATTTTCAAACTTGAGCCTGCATGAACCATCTCCTGGAACTCACAAAAGCAGGAGCTCATTGCCCTCTCGTCGACAGAAGCAGAATTCATCGCAGCAAGCGCAACAGTTCGCAGAGGACTCTACCTTGCAAAGCTCCTACAGAAAACAAAGACGGCGATGAGCGAGTCCTTCAAGTTACTCTGCGACAACCAGAGTGCGATTAAAATCGCAAACAAACCCGGCATCGTCAACCGCACGAAACACATCGCCCTGCGTTACTTCTTCGTCAAAGACGAAATCGACAAAGGGAAGGTCCAACTCACCTACTGTCCAACTGGCGAGATGGCAGCTGATTTCTTGAAGAAGAAGCTGCCACGTCAGAAGTTCCAGTACTGCTCAGACCTGTGCGGAGTCGTCCGAAAGAGCCACGTGGCGCACCTCCAGGAATGAAGGGGAGCGTTGGAGTAAGAAGGGAATTACATTTAGCATTCCCGTAGGTGCAACAGTATCGCACCCGCCACTATCGAAGCAGCGCTAGCAGCAGTGTCGGATCAGCCTACATCAAAGTCAACTGTCGCGGCTGTTGACCATCTGGACCGACGACTGACTTATCATCGAGGAATGGCAACAAGCGTAACCGTATGTACCGGTTACATGCAGCCACTCGGTAAAAAGAAATAAGTGCAACGGTCAGAGTCACTGTAGAAATACCTGTAAAAGCAGTTAGAATAAGGGAATGTACCCCTCAGAGTACATGGCTAGCTAGAACTATTTATTATGTGTGTAATCTTCCTGGTCATCTACATTTACGATGATCTGAGTTCCTAAAACAAGATTTCCGCTACCAAACTCTTCTAAAGCATTCCTATCATATCCAAGGTCCTTATTCTAACACCCTAGGCCTCATTCTTTGATCAGTAGTTGTAATCACTTCCGCGATATTGCATTTTGCGCACTCTTCTTTCGTCCAACTCATGACACTTGGTATCAGAGCTACTTTCCTAGGCTACCCTCCAAGAGTAGAGAAATATATAACACTCCAACTAATAGCGTTTGCGCTTTCACCAAAGTCTTAAAAATCCCTGCTGCCCCCCTGCCCGTTAGGTGGAGCCTGAGAAACACAGACCAGGCCAAGTTTAACCGTTTCATGCAGGACTTTCGGGCGATGCAAGCCAACATGCAGACTAGGTCTGGCGAGTTGTAGCCAGGGCTTCAGATTCGATTTGGGCCACCCTTAGTAATCAGGGTTCTAGGTATAGTCAACCCTAAACCGTAGGGAAAAAAAAACATTCCCTGACAAAACCAGGGTAAAATGTGATAAAACGGGGAATGATTGACTAATGGGAAGGTTGGGTACAAGTACAAACCCTAGAAATGTGTTGTACCCCATATGTGCTACCCCACTATAGCCTACATAGGCTAAGTCATATAAGTCTGACATAAAAAACCTGTAAGTCTGTTTGGGCAGGGTAATTTTTTTGTACACTTAATATCTGTATAAGTCTGACACACCCCCATAGGCAAAGTGGGGGAGAACAAGGGGTCACAAGACCAGTCAAGCAAAGCAAAGCAAGCTCAGGGTGGATCACAACGTCACCACACATTCCAAGCACAAGTTCAAAGCCACAAGGCCAGTTCACATGCAAGATCATATATAAAGGTAAACAAGCAAGTGCAGGTATAGAAAGATCATAGTACAAGCAAGGTCAAGAAGTGAGCAAATGAGGCCAAGTAGGCATTAGACCTAGCATCGTACAACAGCGCTGATGATCACAAGGCGGAAGTGCCTTGGTAAAAAAATCAACAGTGTTTGCCTCAGAGGCCACGTAAGCAAGGCGCAGCTGACCACGCCACTGCAGCTTACGAGCAAGGAAGTAGTGAAGAGCAATGTGCTTTGTTCTGTGGTCCAGTCTGTGCTCCTGACACAAGCGCTGAAGGACCTGCTGCACCATGTGTGACTGAGTCAGGGTAATGGTGCGCTGTGCTCAATCCCGGGTGATCTGCAAGCCAAGGTACCTGCGCAGTTCACCCAGGTCTGTGCACGCGTGTCTCTTCTGCAGCTCCGACTTCACGTGGGCGAGTCTACCAGTTTCAGCAGTGGCAAAGACCAAGTCGTCAACGTACACAAGGATGTAGAACGGCGGCAAAGAGGTGTCGGAGCGCAGAAACAGCGACGGGTCAGCAGTAGAAGGAGCAAACCCAAGAGCCGCAAGTGTAGTCCTCAGTGTGTCGTGCCACTCACGTGGCGCCTGGAGGAGACCGTAGAATGGCCGCTGGAGGCTCCACTGGGTACCAGGAGGAAACGACCCAGTGAAGCCAGGTGGGCGGCGCAGCCAGATCTCCTCGTGCAAGCTGCCCTGCAAGAAAGCTGTGCTGGAGTCAAGAGAGTGAAGGTCGTAGTCGCGCTGAGCGGCTATGTGCAGCAGCACCCGGAGAGTGGTCATCTTCGGGGTGGGAGAGAAGGTCTGAAAGTTATCAACTCACTGCTGCTGACTGAAGCCTCAAGCCACGTAACGCGCCTTGAAGACAGGCAGAGAACCCGGCGGCCGCTTCACCCTGGAAATCCACATGCCACTGACGATGTTCGCCCCAGGTGGGGGAGCCTCGTCGACATAGGTGCCTGTGGACTTCCAGGAAGCCATCTCTGCGTACATGGCTGACAACCACTATGAGGAGTAGCGACCCTCAATCGCCTCAGCGTACCATCGAGGAGTCGGGATGTCTGGTGCATCTGGGTCTCCCTCAGGGGCAATCAGCATGGACACGAGATGAGGCAAAGCAGCAGCAAAACACTGGAACTCCTCCTGCCTGTCCTCAAGGACGTCCGTGCTAAGAGCACACTCTCCCCCGAAGGAGAGAGGACAGACAGACTCAGACTCAGCAACAAGACTCGCGGCGTAGTCTAGACGACAGTGAGCAGCGAAGTTGACAAGCTCAGCAACTAGGGCAGACGCAGCAGTGGACTCGAAGGAAGGATCAGTGACAACAGTAGCCAGGAGACGCGTGACAGTAGGACTGGCAGCACAAAGAGAGTCAGACTTCGAGTCAGCAAGAGCAGGAAGAGAGGACTCTGGAGGAGACGGCAAAGGGACACGCTGCGGAGCAGTGGAAGGACGCAGTGCCATCTGGTGCGTGCCTGGGACCGCAGGTGGACGCTGACGCGGAACACGATGACAAGCGCGAACAGCACGAACAGGCGATGCAGGACGAGATGAAGGTGCACGACGCTCAGCAAGACCTCCAGTAGGACCAGTGTAGGGAGAAGGAGCAGGCAGTGGGGAGGCGGGCGGTAACTGTGACTGCGACTGGAAAGGCTGTGGACACTCTAAGGGAGGAGGAGGACCAGTAGAAGGCGGGAGACCAAGAACCTGCTCAAGGAGCGGAACGAAGTACGGTCGTGGCCGCGCAGCGCCTCCTGAAACACCAGGGACAGTACCAGTACCCCTAGCGGCAGCACCATCGCCAGAAGCACCTCCAGCTCCAGCAGGGCCAACTCGAGCACCCTCAGAAGCACCAGCGCTAGCAGTACCTCCAGCATCAGCACCCCCAGCAGCTCCAGTACCCCCAGCAGCAACAGCAGCTCCAGTACCTCCAGCAGCACCCCGAGGCTCAGCACCCGCAGGCTCAGCACCCCTAGCAGCACCAGAGTCAACAGCTACCTCGACAGGCTCGATTGCGTTTACCAGGGACACACCTGACGGGCCAGGACCCTGAGGGGGGAGAGGATCTATCGGGGTGGGATTTGGCGCAAGGAAGAGCGGAGGCGGGGGGAGGGGCGCAGTGCGGTAGGGGAAGAGATGGTAGTAAGGAACCGACTCGTCAAAGGTTACGTCCTGGTAGGACAGAACACGGCGCGAGGTGGGGTGGTAAAACTGCCAACCATGCGCGTAAAGGGGGGAACCAAGGAAGACGCAGGGAACAGCACGAGGGGACAGCTTGTCCGCAGACAAGTCGCGGACAAACGCCCGAGATCCCCAGATACGAAACGCAGATGCATCGCCAACCTTCCCCGTCCACCGCAAGGTGGGGGAGGTCTGTGGCAAGGAGACCCGGGGCTGAAGGTTGATCTGATGCGCCGCGTACCGAACCGCAAACGGCTACGGAAAATAGGAAGCAGCCGCATGGATCATGGACGTACAAGCAACGCCCATGACCATGCGAATGCGGCGCTCAGCAATCCCATTTTGCTGTGGAGAGGCCGGAAGCGTGAACGTCTGGCGGATGCCCTGTGCCCGATAGAAGGCTCCCAGAAGGCCAGAGGAAAACTCCCCGCCTCTGTCAGAGTGCAGACGCAGAACAGGAAAGTCCGAGCCGAAACTCTCTCTTTGAGCTGGAGACGAGCTGCGCGGATCCAGTCGATCAACACCTTAGTGACGTCACCCTTGCTGCGCAAGGGGAACACCGTGGTGTAACGCTCGTGACCCTGGCCACGGACGCGGGTGGGGCCCCACACATCCATGTGAAGAGTTTGCAGCGAAGCCTCTGTCGGAGGAAACCCGGAGGAGTGAGGAGCGGCGCGTTGCCGCCCCTCGACGCAGGGAACGCAGGTAGGGGCAGGCCCCGGAGGGAGGGGAGGTGAGGGAACGGAGAAGACTAGAGACAAGGTAACGGGAGGCCATGCCTCGGAGACGAGGCAGGGAGGGTTGTCCAAGGTGGTGGTGCCAGAGGAGAGTCCGGTGGAACAGGAGACGACACGAGCAGGGAGCAGACTCAGGACCAGACCTGGACGCTGCAGCAAACACCTGACCCGACGCAGCTACCTGACCAGACTCAGCAACCGGAGGAGACTCAGTAGTCAGTGTGTACAGGCTCGACCCCGGCTGACGGGTAAACGTGGCCAAGTGTCGGCCCGTCCGAGCACACGTACAGTGGGTCACCCGCTGACTCGCAGGAGTGAACTGGTCAACCCCCCCATCCTGTAGATCAGCACCACTCACCAAGTTCGTAGAGAACGAGGGGAGGTAGAGACCTGACAGGGTGCCAGAGGGGGCCGGCGGACACGGTAAGACAGTGGAGAAGTGGGCAAAGACAGGACTCCAGAGGGGTCCGCCAGGGAGACCGCAACTGGCCGACTAAGCGGCGTAAGCGTGGTGCGGTCTCGAAAGAAGGAGCGGGAAGCACCCGAGTCAAGGGTGCAGGTGTGTAAGGCCTGAGCCGACGTGGTACCTGAGAGAGCAGACTCACCAGTACCTGGGGCAGCAGACGCACTAGCACCTAGAGCATTAGCCTCAATGCCCGGGTCAGGCGGAACACACAGGTAATGGTCACCCTCATCACTAGTAGACACAACATACATGGCAGCAAGAATAGCATCATAATCCACATCAAAGATAGCAATCCCCGACCTAAGCAGCTCGCCCCAGCGGAGGATCTCAGTGGCGTCAGGGAACTGGAGACGCCAAGCGTCCGTCAGGCGGCCGAAGCAGCGTTGGGTGGTGTGCGGGCCACCGCAAGGCTCACCAGTGCGGTCGCCGGTACGCAGGACGTAGGCACAAGGACCAGCACCCCCGCCTCGCTGACGCACCACTCACGAAGCTGCTGGGAGGGCGGGGTCTCACAAGTGCGCTGCTGTGCTGGCGCTGACCACCACTGAAGCCGCCCCGCTGCGCAGAGCCGCCCCGATCAGCTCCACCTCCGCCGCCGCCACCTCCGCCACTGCCGCCACCGCCGCCTCCTCCGCTCCCACCGCCACCGCCGCCGCCTCCGCCTCCACCGCCGCCACCGAAGCCCCCGCCCCCGCCACCACTCCCACCGCCACCCCCACTCCCTCCACCGCCACCTCTACCACCCCCGCCAGCCCCTCGAGGGCCCTTGCCCCCCTTGCCCTTGCCGGTGCGGCGTCTCTCGCTAGGGGCAGACGCACCGCCGACCGACTCGGTGCCAACGAAGTCGACGGCAGCGGTAGGGGCAACAGAGGGCAAAAGGGGATAGAGGGAGCACCCTTCAAAGAAGGGGGCATGAGGGTCACCACGAGAGGCTTCTACAGCGACTATACTCTTCTCAGCTGCCAGGAGGCGCTCCCCGAGGAAGTCAACAGTGAGTGTGGTGGGGCAAACAGAGAGGAAGTGGTCCCTGACCGAGCGAAGGGAGTCAGGGAGCCGGGTGACTATGAAGTAGAGGGTGATGTACATGGGGGGGGGGGGGGGGGGGGGGGGGGGTTCTTGGCGCAGAACTCAGCAGGAAGCGCAGCGCGGTAGCGGGTGTCACTAGTGCGAAGGTGCGTAATGAGGTCAGCGACTGTGGGAAAGGCGGCGAGGTCAGGGAACAGGTACGGCAGCATGAGGCAGCTGAGGGCAGCAGTGGCAGGGGAAGAGTAGCGTGCGACTACAGCGTCGTACAAGGTCATAGCACTCTTGTACTGACTGAAGTGCGCGCGCTTAGAGGACGGCAAGTGACTACGCACAGCAAGACGGGCAGCAGCATCGCGTGTGGCCCACTGTGAGCGAACAGTGCTGTCAGCATCGGCAGCAGGGGCAGCAGAGGCGCCAGACGTGAGATCAAACAGTGAGAGACCGTCTTTCCTATCGCACTGCAGGAAAACCTGTAGATCATCGACCCAGACGTCAAAGTCAATAGCCTGACCCTCAGCATCAAAGACGAGAATGCTACGGGTAGCCATGGCAGCAGTGGCAGCAGGCTAGGGGCAGCAGCAGCAGTAGCAACAGTAGGGGCGCAGCTCGGCGGTGCTCTTACCAGGGCAGGTGGGTAGAGGGCCGCAAGTGGTGGGGCAGGGCTGAGGCGCGCCGGCAGGGACGGGGCCGCTACAGGGCGGCAGAGGAGTGCCGCTCCTCTCTGCAGGGCAGGGCCGAGACGGCGGCGGCGGCAGCTGTAGTCAGCGGCTGCGGCGGCTGCGGCCCCGGCCGTGGCGGCGGCGGCTGCTGCTGTCGGCGACTGCGGCTGCTGCGGCCCCGGCAGTGGCGGGAGCGGCTGCTTCTGTCGGCGGCTGCGGCCCCGGCAGTGACGGTGGCGGCTGCTGCTGTCGGCGGCACCGGCTGTGGTGGCTCCTGCTGCAGGGGCGGCGACGACTGCTGCTGCAGGGGCGGCGACGGCTGCTGATGCAGGGGCGGCGACGGCGGGGCGGCAGGTTCGTGAGGGAGCCGAGAAGGGGCTGCGGAGGAGCTGTGAAGGGGCCGCTAAGGGCGGTGAGGGGCCGCGAAGGGGCCGTGAGGGGCCGCGAAGGGTGGCGACGGGGCCGAGAAGGGGCCGTGAGGGGCCGTGAAGGGCAGCGACGGGGCCGAGACGGGGCCGTGAGGGGGCCGCGAAGGGCGGCGATGGGGCCGAGAAGGGGCCGCGAGGGGCCGCGAGGGGCCGCGAAGGGTGGCGATGGGGCCGTGAAGAGCGGCGACAGGGCCGCGGAGGGCGGCGATGGGGCCGTGGAGGGGCCGCGAGGGGCCGCGAGGGGCCGCCAAGGGGCCGCGAGGGGCCGTAAGGGGCCGCGAAGGGCCGTGAGAGGGGCCGCGAAGGGCGGCGGAGGGGCCGCGAGGGAGCCGCGAAGGGGCCGCGAAGGGCCGTGAGAGGGGCCGCGAGGGGCCTTAAGAGGGCGCGACGGGCCACTAAGGGCAGGGGACGCGACGGGAGGGCAGGAGTATTTCTCACTGTCAGGAGTATTATTCAGTGGCTCGAATAATGTTTCGTCTCGCTACGGAGCATTCGGTATCAGTATTGTTGAAATCGCACCTGGGCAAGTCAGAGAAATTTCCTTTCTGTGTTGTTTCACTTTCTGGCCTAGGGTAAAAATCCCATTACCCTTCTTGGGAAAGGGTAACTGAAAAAAGCGACCGCCATTCAAGGCAATCAAGGTGTTTTACCCTGGTAACAAGAGCCCTGGTTGGAGCGCGTGAGGGTGGAAAACGCCGAACTACGCCAGGCGCGAGGTGAAGCACCAGGGGTCGCCTGTCGTGGAAGAAGCAAGTAGCAACTCATTACTTGACGACAACGTGCTCAACTAGCTACAAGACTCACTAGACGCTGAAGGCGGCACGACGGCAACAGACATGGAGGCGCAAGGACAGGAGAAATAGGAACGAGCGACGCTTAGGCAACAGTCGCAAACGCTACCACGACAGGCAGCAGCGACAACTCCGGCGATGGCTTCGATGGCGCCCCCAGTACATGCAGCAGCAGCGGTTTTGACAACTGTTAAAATAAAACCGACAAATCCGCCTCCGTTCAACCCCAGCGACAAAGGCGTTACTGTATCTGCATGGTTGTTTGGCATGGAGGTTTTCTTCAATGCTGTGCAAATTTCTGATGATGCCACCCACATTCATTTTGCAGTGTCACTGTTACGATGAGCTACGTTGGAGTGGTGGCGCCGCAGGCTTCTAACGGAAGGGACTTTAGTATGGATATCACGTGCGAACGACGGGACCTGGACTCCTGTCATGCAAAAAGCAACATCGATCTTTGTAGTGGCCACGATACGCACATGGAGGGAGTGGGGCGCCGCGCTGCGAGCCC